ATTCTGTAATGAATGGCACCCCTGAAAGCTGCAAGATGACAGGATTAAGAGTCCCAGTGTTCATAGTAAGAGTATTATTCAGCCAGACTGACCACAGATGCTTAGCCAGTTGTCCCACACTCACTTATGGATGCTCAAGTAGGCAGTGGTGCTGGTACATCCTGTCGACAAAGCCTCAAAGATGATGGAGGTATCAAGCCGTGACAGTCCTGAGCCACCTACATCTGGTTTCACATAGATCCCACCGAACCCCAGCTGGGCTGCCTTCCGCATTGTCTCCACGGGGAATATTTCCTATTGGAGGCACAAAGGGAAAAAAGGTATCGCAAGAGATTAAGAGCAAGATCAGCTTCCAGTGAAGATGAACCATTAAGCCCAGTTCTGAACTTCCAAGTTTAAGTGGATAGGTAGGCATCTAGGTAGATCAGGGAGCAGGTGCAGGTTTTCTGACTTCTCTGTGCTGCCTGCTGGGGTCACTGATGGCAGCAGGGTGCCACTGCATCAGCATCCCTAAAGGAAATCTTTCCACTGTCACAATCACAGCACTAAGCAAGAGGGAAGGAGCTACTGAAGACACCACTACCTGCAGGGCTGGGGTAAGGGGGGTGCTGGGGGGGGGGGGAGGGCTGGGGAGGAGAAAGAAAAGAAATGACTAGCCCGTTAATGCAGGCAAGAGGAGTCCTGAGGGAGGAGAGGGTGTTGGGTGAAGCATCCCTTTTGTGGGCTGGCACCTGGCCTGTGCTCTCACCTTTTCATCCCATTCTGCCATGTGAGGGGCCATCTCCTTAGCAGCAAAGTCAAAGGCGACCTTTTGGAATTCCTTCTGCTCCTCGGTCAGGCCTGTAGATGCTGGAAAAGCAGGAGAAGAGCGGATGCTTTCAGAGGATGGGGAAGGAGGCTGCAAACCTCCTCACTTCTTTAATACCCAGGACCCATTTTACACATTGTAGTAATTATTGTTCACAGTCCAGTATCTCTGAGCCCTGTTATCTGCACTGACCCACTGTGGCATTACAAGCATCAGCCGCGCCTCCCAATGAATCAATGCAGAATGAATGCCTCTGCGTGCTGCTACGAGGCAGTGGTCTAGTAGAGGGGCTGCCTTCTGGTGAAGCAAAACCAAGGTCTTGATCTCTGGTGGTCACTGAACATGAACTGCAACACACAACTAACACTGTATATGTGTGTGGGGGGCTTTATTGGTGTTTTTTGATGCAGAAAGGCAGCCGTGACGTTCTACAGGGTTGTTTTTTGGTTGTTTTTTGCCTGGGTATTTCCCCTCCCTCTCCATTAGAATGATCACTTTTTGATTTCTTTGCTTTTCTGGAGAACTCACTGGAGAGTTGGGTTGAAGCTTCACAACAGAGCAAAACTTACTGCAACGCCCAACTCCAGCTTCCATGTAAAACCTCGTCTACAAAGGAGAGGTGGGGGGGATGAACCCATGTATTACACTAGTATGAGCCTGAAGCATACATGTGCTTCATCATTGCAATATACACCAGTAATTTACCAGAGAAAAGCAACAGAGGGTCCTGTGGCACCTTTGAG